CACCAGACTCACTGCAGCCAGTTCTCCTTGTTGTCCTGCCGGTGGCTGCCACGCTCCGGGCGGAAACGCTTGGATGCCAGCGCCTCCTCGTCCCGCTCCAGCTCCTGCCGCTGCAGCTCCCTGATGGCCGAGCGGATGCGGCGCCGCTCAGCCAGGTCCATTGTTGCCTCCAGCTGGGTGTGACAGGGTAGGGCTCAGCAACAGCTCTGGTCACTGCAGCACCCCAGCTTGGCCCCGGTGCCGCCCTCCTCCAGGCTGCCCACGCACTGTACAATGGGACCATCTGTCCGGCAGAGTCCACGCATGTGGCACACGCTGCCCAGCACTGCCTGGCCCCATGGGGAGTGGGCATGGCCCCCCCAGGGGCAGGATGCTGGGACCAGCCATGGCGAGGAGGGCTGCCACAGTGGCATGGAGACCTCCAGGCATGTGAGGGGCAAGGAGACGGGGCATGTGGCATGAATGCTCCCCGGTGGTCTATGCAGCCCCCAGGGATTGGTTCCCTGCAGCCCTGCCATCCCATGCCACCCACACGGGGATGAGCCCTCCTGCCCACGCAGCAGGGCAGTGGGAAGACAGCAGAGTCTGTTCCCCTCCCACCACCACAGTCCCCAGGAGGTGCTGGTTGGGAGGGTCCCAGCACCCACCGAGGAGGGACACCCACCCAGGCCCCCCTGCAGCCTTTCCCACCCTCATCCAGCACTAGGGGATGGCAGGTGGCTCTCGGAGTCAAATCCATGAGTGGAATTTGTCTTAAATCAAAGTCCAACCCTCTGTATGTGGGAAGCATGGCCATAACGCCCCCCCAGTCCTGCCACAAACATCTCATGGGTGCTCCTCAGCCCACCCAAGTCCACTTGCCAGGACCTGGCATGGGCACCCAGAGCTGCTTCCCCTTGTCCAGATCAGGTCCACAGCCCCAGCACTGCCGCTGGCCCAAGTGCTTTGAGGGGGCCATGCACAGCACCCCCCCCCACCCTGACTTGGGGCAGAAGGCAGCCAGATCCAGATCCGTGGGGAAAGGCCAGCCAGGGCAGGCACGGCCCCACTGTCCTGCTGTGAGACAGCAGGACCAACCCGATGCTGGGAACCCAGGAGGCAATTTCCCATGGAGCTCCTTAAAAATGAACACCGTGACCAAGAGCAGCTGCTGTCAGCGTCAAGCCCCGACACACTGGGAGCAGCCGCGGCTGTGCCACAGGACAAGAACATCAGTCCCCTCCCTTCCAGTCCCACAGGCCACCACCAGGCCACCCATCCGGGCTC